ACCAGGTGGTTAGATCTGTTACTAGGTATGTGAGCTGAGGAGTCTGCCCACTCCTCCAGTATGCATTCAGCTCAGATGTCCAGGTAGCTAGCCACCACGTGTGTGGTGTACGCTCACACTTACAGTCCTAGACAGGCATGGGTGATTGGTGTAGGCACAGGCATCTGGCTGCAGCAGGGGGACACATTCTGAGCAAGGCAGTTGACTGAGGGCTGCCCCTGAGTGTCCAGGAGGAAGGTGTTTCCCTATTCCTTAGAGTGTGAAGGTAGGTAGGTTTTGCAGCCAGACTATGTGCACTTAATTCTGTTGGCTGTGGACTGGGGTGCACCTCTTATTCATGGGCCCCTATCCCAGGTGGCTAGGTGGCATGGGTGGAACCACCAGTCCTCAGGCCCCTGATGTGGGGAGGTGAAGACCCTGCTTAATGGGCAGAGCAGTGTCAAATGTCAAGAACCTGCCACTTCACAGCTGAAACAGTTGAAGTTAGACTTCCAGCGTATACCCTGTTGTACTGCAGTAATGAGGGCCTACGCTGTTGAGATGGGCCCACACAAGTCTATGCAGGTGGAAAGGCACTCAAAGTCCGTGGATCCCTTATGCCTGTGCCTAGGCAAACAGCTGTGCCAGCTCTGGGTTCCTGGCTTAGGGGAGCTGGCAGTTTATTTTTTCCCCTGTTTATTAATTTGTTCACTCTCCAAGGCATGGAGAATGGCTCTGGGCATGTGATGGATCCTACTTCCAGCCCAGGGGGCTCGGCAATTGCTGAAGCTGGTCCGGGACCCAGTGCAGAGCAGGGATTGGGGAGGTAAATGGGAGAGAGGTTTTTGCCTAAGGGGGATGTTTTTAATCTGTGTGGTAAGCCATTTATGCAAGTACTTATCTTTTGCCGATGAGGGCTGCTTCTCACTGGTTCTGGGTGGCTGTGTAGATTCTCTGGCACTGGGTCTCTCCCAGTGCAGAAAACGTGCCTCCTGAGCACGGCTGCTTGCCTGCTTCACAACTCACCCCTGAGCTGATCTGGCCTGAAGGGCTCAGGCTCTTGCCGGGTCAGGTCTGGCAACTCCTCGCTGTTTCCGAACCGTCTCTCCCACCCCCTCCACTTAGTCTGGTTCCTCAACTCTGCCTTTGATGTTCAGGGCTCCCAGATTGCCATATATAATCGAATCACTTGTTTTTCGTGTCTTTGTTGTAAGAGGGTCCACTGAAAGCGTCTGACTACTCCGCCGTCTTGTCCCGGCCTCTGCTTTGGTCAATTTAGAAAATAACTTTGTATCTTAATCATTGATAATAGTAATCAATTTCAGTAACTACCTTTTGAACACTTTATTCAGTACCAGTACTGGACCAAAGCCTTGTATATTGTCATTTAGTCTTTACAGCAACTCTATGAGGTCATTGTTCTCCATTTTACAGATGTGGAAACAGGCCCAGAATGTCAAGTGGGGGTGGTGGTACCTGAACCCATGCTGCTGAACTCGAACCTCTCTGGGGGGAGGAAGCAGGTGTGTGTGGGATCTCCTGGATTGCCAGTGTTTTTTTTAATTGGGGGTGGGGGAGGGTAAGTAGGTAGGTATGACATGTTGTGTGTGTGATCATGTTGTAATTATGAATAAATTACATAGACCATTAAATAGATTGAATATTATGCTCTACTCGTGTACGTTGTGTTTTCAGATTGAAGATGGATGGACCACAGAATGTTGTCTCCAGTGATGATAGCTGTGTAGGTGATGCAGTTATAGAAAAGTACGTGGTGGAATCCACAGAATCTGCCTCTCATGTTCAGCTGGCCTGCAGCGAGCCTTACTGTGCTTTTCCTCTAAATGGACATGAGCTTTGTGTTTGGAATGCCAGGAGTCCTTCTGACCAGGTATTTTGAAATGTTGTGTGTGTTTCTTATTAAGTCTGGTGACACGAAGGGCCTTGTCCTCCTTCCCTCCTTCAATGCTGTTTGGGTGATACTGCCCCTTGAAGGATTCAGGCACCAACCATGGAAGAAAACAAAAACATTATATTACATTTTGATAGTTAGAAAATAAACCATCTTGAATCACTTTATTTTAAAACAATTCTCCTTCAGTAAGAATATGAGTAGGTAAAAAGTTCATCTGAACACAAGTTTTTAATAGAATGATTCTTTAAGAAAGTTTATTATGTGTATCATGGTATCTTTTACATCAAACCGAAAAGAGCTTTAAAGACATCATTAGTTTACATTCTGACATCTATTTCATGACTTGTATAGTTACCTGGAGACTCTTAATACAAACCATGTTTGATGTATAAAATGGAAAAGTAAATTTTATCAAGATTTTTTGGCACTAGGGTAATTTTTATCTTCTTTGGGCTTTAGGGTTTTGAGAATAGCGATTGCAGGCCATAAGAACCACAACTATATTTGCTTCGAATTTTTCTTTAGCCTTCAGTCTTACTGCCAGTCACTCTACTGACAGTAGAAGCTGCTCATCCCAGTCAAAGGGGACTCCATACTCTGATTTTTTTCCCTGAGTTAAGAGGTTTCATGTATTTCTTCAGCACAGCTTTACTGAAATTAACTCCTAAATTCAGGTCTCCAGCTTGATCACTCTAACTTTTTAGAAAAATGAAGTATAATGTACTTAGAAAAAAGTGTTCCGGCTATCAAGTGTTCATTGTAATGAATCATCACGAAGAGAACACACACGTGGGTAACTGTCACCCAGGCCACGTCTGTCAGTCAGTACCCTCCTCTCCTCCCGTCAGGTGACACTGTCTTGACTTCCAACACCGCAGGAAAGTTTTGCTCACGTTTGAACTTCATATCTGTGGAATCCTACGGTGGGCATTCTTCCTGCTGGTTTCCTCCATTCACATTATGTTTGTGAAATCCGTTCCTGTTGTTCTTTCTCATTGCCGCGTAGAATCCCATGAGTAGACCACAGTTTATCCATTCTACGCCTGGAGGACATTTGGTTGTTCCCATTTTTTGGCTGTTACAAATGGCACTGCTGCAAACATCCTTTTACGTCCTTTGCTCCACACGTCTGTGCGATTGCTGAGTCACAGGTCGTGTGTGTCTAGTTAGCAGATGATCACAGACAGGTCTCCAAGGTGGTATACGGTCTCTGTTTCTTCAGGTGGTTTGTGAAAGTTCCAGTGGATCTGCTTCCTCATCTGCATTTGATCTCTTCAATTTTAGCCCCTCTGGTTGAGCGTAAGGATCTCTGGTGGTGCAGTGGTGAAAGCGATCGACTGCTAACTGAGCTGCTCTGCGGGAGAAAGATGTGGCAGTCTGCTTCCATACAAATTTATAGTCTTAGAAACCCTGTGGGGTTGCTATGAGTCACAATTGACTCGAGGGCAATGGGTTAGGATTGGTTGGTTGAGTGTGGTGGTATCTCATTGTAATTTCCTGTGGTTAAAGAGGTTTAAAAGGCTATTTGGATGTTCTCTTTTGTGATGTATTTGTTTAAGCCTCTTGCCATTTTTGTATTGGAGTGTCTGTCTTTTCCTATTGACTTGAAGGAGTGGTTTATGGATTCTAAACATAAGCTTTCTGTCACTTTAGCTTGGATCTTCTAGAGTTTTATGTAAACGGCATCACACGGTCTCTACTGTTTTGTCTGGCTCCTTTCCCTCAGCGTACTTGTTTTGCGATTCATGCACGTTGTAGCATGTATCAGTAGTTCGTTCCCGTTGGTTGAGTCCTGTTCCATTGTGTGGATTCTCCTGGCTCTTACAGACAAAGCTGCTGTGACTATTTGTGTGGTGTCTTTTGTTCTATAAACATCTTTTAGGCCATGCTGGTTGGTGGTGGTGTTCAAATCTCCAGTACTCTTGCTGATTTTCTGTCCCCCAGCCATACAAGGAGAACACGTGTGACAGCAGAGACAGGGATTTGAGTGATGCAGCCACAGTCTTAATTCAGGGTGTCAGCAGGGCCCTGCTGTCTCCCAAGGCTTCGGGAAGGACTCTCCCGTCTCTCCAGCTCCTGGTGGCCCGGGTGTTCCTGGGCTTATGGCTGCATCACTCGTGTCCACCCCTGTGGTCACATGGTGTCTTCCCTGTGTGTGTCTGTCTCTTCTCTTCTTACACGGACACCAGTCACACTGGGTTGGCGCCAACCCTAATGACTTCATCTGGACTTGATGACATCTGCAAAGACCCTATTTCCAAACAGGGTCGTGTTCACAGTTCCTGGGGGTCAGGACTTGAGCGTATCTTTTGGGGGACACAGTTCAGCACATAATAATGTCTTCAGGGGAAACGTGGTCCCAAATGCTGGATGTCGTCTCTTAGTTTGCTTCTTCTCTTCATTGCCTTCATTACTTTCTGATGTGTTTTAAAAAAGTTTTTCTTTTTTTTTTGTTTTTTACAAATTTTGTCTCATTTTTCTTATCATTCTCATGGGGGGCCTGGTACAGATTAACTAGACTTCCGTTAGCCAAAGTGGAACTCTCCTTGTCCTCTCTTCTGAGTGATAAATCTCGTATCATGCTGCCGACTGTCTACTTCACTTCGGCTGCAAGCCCCTCCACGTGCCGCAGACCAGACAGTGAATTACACGCCCCCATTCCCGCTGTCTTCCTTTCCCGCTTGTGGCACTGGAGCTGACTCTTTGCGTGTCTTTCCCTCCCTCCTCACGTCCCCTGGCCTCAGAGCCCTGGTTCAGCATCTCCCCTCCATTGTCCACACCCTTGCTCAGACCTTTGGTGGGTCTCCCGTGGGACATCTTGGGACTTCCCACCGGGCCCCCCGGCCGCCTGCGTCTCCCACTCCGGTCTCCTCCATACTCACAGTGCTGCTGTGTTCCCGGAAAGCTAGCCCAACCACAACCTTCTCCACCTGGAGTGCCCTTGTAGCCGCAGCGGGCCGAAGAGGCCCCCGTGCCTGCCCACCCGCCGGCCTCTGCCTCACCCTGGACCTTGCTTGCACTGCGGTTTCCGAAACACGCCTGCTTCCCGGCAGCCTGGACACTCTCCTCCTCTGTCGACTCCTGTTTCCTCAGATCTGGCTCAGCTCTTACGCTTTGCACGGAGTGGGGACGCAGCGTACGTTGTTTAGTCAGTGCGTGATGAACAAATGGAGGAATGAGGTAACCCTACCGTTCCGTCAGCGCGCGTTACAGGTGATATGAACAGACTGACGGGGCTAACTGGGGTGGTACATACACAGGGGTGTTAATGAATGATGTCAGGATGAGTCTGTGAGATGGGTACATTTGAAAATACAGCCCATTTAATTTCTGAAGTTTGAATTGTGTTGCTTGTTCTTTTGCTGTTTAAACGTTAACTACAGTTGTCTACAGGAGCCCTGGTGGAGCAGTGGCTGTGGTGTTTTTGTGTTAATTTTCTCTTTCAGTTGCTAAGCCTAAGAGGACACCATCAGTCCATCACTGCGGTGACGTTTGGAAATGAAGGGAGTCCGCTTCTGCTCTGCTCTGCATCCCGTGACCGTGTGATAGTGTGGAACTTGGAGGAATGCAGAGAGGACGCACTTGAGGGTGAATGAAAACTTAAAACATGCTTTAGAAATGTACTAAGGGAATAACTCGTCTTTAAATATACTTTGCAACATTAGATGGTTTGGGATCATTTTTACTCCTTAACCTTGAAATCAGATGTCGAAGTTGCCTACTTTATATGAAAGCTTATTTCCCAGGCGGATGACATTAGCTATGTGAGACGCTGTCTTAGAGGCTCATTAGTTTTGTTTAATCTTACTCATTTTCTTATTTAAAAAACCTGATTTTTGGCAGTCAGGACAGTGTGGGTGGGCTGCCCTGTTCTGTCCCTGTGC